CTTTTCCAGTCCTGTGGCCACTGCTGAGTTTTCCAAATTTGCTGGCATATTGAGTGCAGCACTTTCACAGCATCATCTTTTAGGATTTGAAATAGCTCAACTGGAATTCCATCACCTCCACTAGCTTTGTTCGTAGTGATGCATCCTAAGGCCCACTTGACTTCACATTCCAGGATGTATGGCTCTAGGTGAGTGTGAGTGATCACACCTTTGTGATTATCTGTTAGTGGGTGGAAATTGATATTACAAATAAGCTTCAAAAATTTTTGCTGGCCTTGTCAGATTTTACTTTGTATATTTGCTGATGAACAACACATAATAGGGGGAAACCTCTTAGCTCTGCAAACTTCTTATTGCTGTTTTCATTTGTATTCTTCTTCTTATTATTATTATTAAATCCAATATATAGATGGTAATTGACTACAAAGATCAGTATTGAGAATTGAGAAGAAAAAATAATGTTTCTCACTAGAAAAAGATTAGATTGCTTCTTCTACCCTCACTAAAATTTGTGCCACTATTGAAGCCTTTATTACTTCACCTGTGATTATTTCTTGTGCTACTTGCCAGATTTGACTACTAGACTCTTTTCTGGAGTTGAGAACAGGAGGTTTTCATTTAAATGTGAGAACTCTAAACCATATAAAGAGCTCCTCAGGAAAAAGAGTCATTTCAGTCACTGCTGTATTTCCCCAGTCTTCATAAATCCTGAGCTGTATGCATCCTTAATTACCTTTCTTGAGCACAATTTATATTTCCTAGTCTGTGTCATCAGGTATGGTGGGAGATACTGGAGATAAGTACAGATACAAATATAAACTTGGCTTCTAAGGACTTCCTGTCTTGTTGATAAACCAGAATAAACTATCAAATGATAAATAAACAAATCAGTTTAAGTGATGGATGGGTGGTAAAAGTAACACAAACTCCAAAACAGCTTCTGTGGTTTCATCATTAAAAATAAGGAAAAGAAAAACATAACATAGTTTTTAAAAGTGTTTGGCAGTCTATGCAAGCTTTTCCCTAAATTATTTTGTTAACTATCAGTGCAGGATTATTTATAATGTAGACCTGAAATTACTATCCAGGCATAGTATCATTGCAACGGTTGTGACAGACTGCTACAGATAAATTATGGTAAAATATGTGTGTGTGTGCTCAGTCACTTAGTTTTTTTCGATTTTTTGCAGCCCTATGGATTATAGCCCACCAGGCTCCTCTGTCCATGGGATTCTCAAGGCAAAAATATTGGAGTGGGTTGCCATGCCATCCTCCCAACTCAGGGATCGAACCCACATCTCTTGTGTCTCCTATAGTGGCAGCAAGTTCTTTACTCCTAGAGCGACCTGGGAAACCCAAAATATATGTGCAACTAGCTATTAGGTGAAGACCAGGGAATGAAATCTGAGTTATATTCACATTATTTGAACCATGTATGATGAAAACACATGTATGCTTATGTGATTGAATAATTTGATAATTTTAAGGCGGGGAAAAAAGTGAAAGTGAAAGTCACTCAGTCGTCTCCAACTCTTTGGGACCCCATGGATAGTCCATGG